TAGTGGGAGATAAAACATAATGGTGGGGAATTAATACATTGTTTAATATAGTGGGGGATAAAACATTAAGTAGTGGGAAGATAAAGGAGGATGAGTAGAAGATAGTGGGATTTTAGTTTAAATGCTTCAAGTTTGTAAATAAATAGGAGGCTGGACACAAAATAAGAAAAGGGGACAATTCCGAAAATAGAGGAGGAGAATTAACTGAAAATAGAGAGAAAAAATTCGAAAATATTAAAAGATTTTTGGGGATTCGAATTTGAAGAGAGTTTAAAAGAAAGAATTTTCTGAACATTAAGAGAGAATTAAGGGTTAAACATTAACTGGTCTTTCAATCTAAAAAAGAAGGTCACTTTGTTTTTGCCCGTTGATTATTATTGGTGTTTCTAGATTTTCATGTGGTTTGTTCCTTGAGTTTGATTGGTTATTTGCTACTACTTCACTGGTTATTGCTGGATTTTATTTGATTTTCAAATCTGTCACTGGGTGTTCCGTTTGTTGGTTATTGCTGGTTATTGTTGCTGTTGCTGTGTTACATACTACTTTGCTGACCTTCTTCTTCTTGTATTGGCAATACCAGGTACACAACTGTAACTTTGACATATTGTAAGCTGAAATGTGAAAGCATGAATACATATGAAGAATGGAACTTTGAAGTTCTAATTTAGCTTTTTCTTTGTTTCTTTTACTAATTGTATTTAGGCTATTTCATGTATTATTATTCTGTAAATTTCTGTCGCTTTGCATAACTAGGCATCTTGTAGTGATGTATTAGATAATACTTTGCTTTAACTTGATTATTAGGTAGTATATATTTAAGCATGCTCATTACTGTCAAACTGTTTAATAATTGGAATAAGAGGAAAATAACATAAGTTGGTCTTTATTGAATCGGCTTGGCAAAACTGATTAAGTTCACTAGCTATGAAGGTTTTAATATTGTCAACATTAAGTTAATCGTAAACATGTAGCTAAATTTAGTTAAAACATTAATTTAAATTAATTTCGCGAATTAGGCATTATGGCATGATTTGAGTTCAAACAAGACAAGTTAATGTTAAATTTAATAAATTTTCGAAATACGCATTAGTAATTAAGATTGATTCTAATTTCCAATAGTTGTAAATAATTAATTTCAACGGTTCAAGTCATCTAACAATGCGAATTTAATCTGGTTATGGGATAATTAGTTTCTTTTGAATATATTATTTGACGATTCCGTATTGTATTTATAATTTCAATTTTTAGTAATATTCCTTTCCGTGAACATTTGTCTTAACTTAGCATTTAATATGTTACGTTTTTTTAAGCATGTAATTAATTAGGATTTTTTCTCTTTTATTTTAGAGACGAATTTAATAGAAATGTAGTCATTTTAAGATATCCATAAAATAAAGGAGGCGTGCTTCGCCAAAAATAAATACAAAATTGCGGGGCCCTCAATAATTATTTGTTTTAAAATACTTAGATTCCGGGACGGGCCGTTTAGCAAATTTCACGGCCCTACAAAAAATAATAACAACGCGTTAGTCTTTAGGCGCGTATTTAATAATGTTATTTTCCTATACTCAGGTGTACATTTATGTGACCCAAATCCAAATCTCAACGGAGTCGAAGTGTGTCGACGACCACGGGTACATTGACTGTGACGTGGTTCGAGATATATTTTTGCGAGGTTGCAATTCTCGATAAAATAATAATAATAATAATAATAATAATAATAATAATAATAATGATAAAAACGGTTAAAAGTTAAAATTCGCATATATGTTCAACATGAATTATATCAGATAATCAAGCCGAATATGACAGTTGAGCGACCGTGCTAGAACTACGGAACTCGGGAATGCCTAACACCTTCTCCCGGGTTAACAGAATTCCTTATCCGGATTTCTGGTGTGCAGACTGTTAAACAGAGTCATTCTTTTCCTCGATTCGGGATTCAACCGGTGACTTGGGACACCATAAATCTCCCAAGTGGCGACTCTGAAATAAAGAAATAAATCCCGTTTCGATTGTCCTTTAATTGGAATAAACTCTCTTCGGCGCCCCTTTGTGGCGGCGCGGGCAAAAAAGGAGGTGTGACAGGTATATGGAATTTATCTTTAATGGTCATATTGTTTAGGGCTCTATAATCAATATAAAACCTCCAACTGCCATCCTTCTTTTTAACCAATAGTACAAGAGAAGAAAATGGGGACTGACTAGGTTGTATAATTCCATTATTGAGCATGTCAATTACTTGTTTTTCAATCTCATTTTTCTGAAAAAAGTTATACATGTAAGGTCTTATACTCACTGGACTTGCTTCTGCCTTCAGGGGAATGTAATGGTCATGGTTCCTTTGAGGAGGAAGAGTTGTGGGCTCAACAAACACATCTGGAAATTGCATCAACAACTTATCAATGTCTGCAGGCACCTCCTCTCCACTCTTCATCTCTGCAGCTGTTACAGTAAAAAGGTGAGCCCAAATTGCTTGTCCTTTCTTCATATATTGTTTGACTCCTTTGCTTGACATTCCTTGTAACTCTCCTTGACTGTATATGCCTTTCAATTCCACTCTCTTCCCCTTGTGAGTCACATGTACTTTGTATGCAATGAAGTCTAGTAACACAGGATTATGAGTCTTCATCCAATCACCCCCAAATATCATGTCATTTCCCCCTAGCCTGATAAGTCTAACTGAGTCTTCAAACTCTACCCCTTGAATCCTCCATTTGAACCTGTGGCAGATGTGTAGGCTCATTAGGTGATTACCATTAGCTACTGTCACTCTTATAGGAGCAGCCTCATTGATCACACACCCCATCTTTTTAGCAGTTTCTAAGTCTAAGAAACTATGAGTGCTTCAAGAATACAAGAGGATGGTCATTTGATTCTTCTTGGATTCTCCCCTTAGCTTAATAGTGTTTGATACCTGAGTTCCTGATAAGGCATTTAAACTGAATGCCTCATCCAATATTTCTTCCTCTGGGATCATCTCTACCATAGCTTCCTTTCCTACATGTTCTTTTTGCTGGACCATCACCTCTTGTTCTTCAGAAGCAGTCATTGCATTAATCTGCTTATGTTTGCATTGATGGCCTAGGAAGTACTTGTCTCCACATTTGTAATACAATCCATTGTTTTTTCTATACTCCATTCCTCTGTTAGTGTTGCAATTCTGTGTACCTCCTCCCCTGTTAACCATTCCTAGATTCTGTGCGCTGAATTGATTAGAGGTTGTGGTAGTGGTCCCTTTTCCCCAAGTGGTCTTCCCTTTTCTATTCTAAGAGTCAATTACCTTCTCCTGGTGTCTAGCCTTTTCAACAGCTTGACTGAGTGTGTATGGATTCAACATCTTGACTGTATGTCTGATGTCCTCTTTCAGTCCTTCCACAAAGAATTCTAGGAAGAACCCTTCAGGAATGTTGGGGTTCCTAATGAGAACCCAAGCTTTCAAATCCTCAAACCTCTCCAAGTAGTCATTGACTGACCTTTTTTGTTCAATATTTTTGAATTCTCCAATGAGATTAAATTTACTATTATCTGCATCTTGAAATCTTTTACAAAGTTCTTCACAGAATTCTTGCCAAGTAATATTTCCTTTGCTTAATTGATAGGAAAAATACCAGGATTCAGCTCTCCCATTGAGATGAAGAACAACCTCCTCCAACTTCTGCTCTGCAACTATGATGTGATTGAAGTGGAAATATCTCTCACACCTCCTCAACCAAGAACAAGGATCCAATCCTGCTGCTCCATCAAAATAAGGAAACTCCACTCTAGAACTGGAGTTGGAATGATGGTTGTGATAAGGTCTCTCCATTGTCATGGAATGGGTATACTGGTCCATTCGAGTTCTGTTTCCTTGTCCATCAAGAGGTTGAGCATCTGTTGGGACACTACCCAATAGGCCTGCTTGATTTGGAAGCAACTTCTCCATCACTAACCCCATCTGTTGCGCCAACCCATCCATCTTAGCATCCATGGACTCTGCATTCTTCCATGCTTCTGCTATGTGGTTCTGTAGTTGGGTCTCCAATTTCTTTATGTTTTCCTCCATAGTTTTGGATCTAGTTTCTGTAACTGTCATAATTGTTGGGCCAGGAATGGGCTCTGATACAAAATGTAATGAACTAGAATTGAAAGAAGAGAATTAAGGCTAAATCTCAGTAGTTTTATTGATTTGTGCTATTACAATCTACTCTCACTCAATTACTACAAGGATTACAATGATTAGTAATAGAGCTTGAGCTGATTATCAATGGTGGAATCCTATAAGAAGAAGAGAAAGTGAAATGAGAAGAGGATCAGAAAGAGAAAGGGAACAAAGAAGAATCGAAGGGAAGGAGATGAGAAATACCATATTTCATAACTGCCAGTGCTCTCCTTCAGTTGTCTATTTAACGGCCCAGCTATGATTAACAACCCACTGTAACGGCCCAAACTACCCAACTCATCTGGGCCTTTTATTTGATAACAATACTTTTAATCTGAACCGTCTAAACTAATATGAGTAATTCCATCTCCTGCTGCAACGCCATCTCTTTACTAATACACTTTAAATTCCCAATTTAGCAATGTGGTTTCCCATTTCAGCTGAGTTCCGACATAACACCTTATTATATAGTTATAGCAATTAAAGAAAGCACGAAAGTGGATAAGGATAGCAATAGCCAAAAAGCCTAAAACCAAAATAGAGCTCTTAAATTTTTTTACTATAGGAACTCATCAAATGTCACCAAATTAAATATCAGCAAAGAAGGCTCAGCTTTTAGAAAATTTTCAAGTTTAGTGTCGCAAAAATTTGAATGGAAAAATAAACATGATCGAATTAGTAGTTGTGCCGAAATGCACTAGGCGTTGAAATTTTATAAATAAGTAGTCACATATTCAGATAAAAAGATAAAAATGAAAATAAATAGTTATCGTATATCAATATTTTTCCTTTAAGCTATTTATAAAATATTACTGCTTTTTACATTATAAGAAAGGAAAATCGCGGGCTGGGGGAAACATCTCCCAGTATTCAAAAATCTCACGCACACACAAATTTCCCTGTCAGACATCACAAAGTGGAGGGACACAAAAAAGGGTTTGAGAAGAGATGGAGAAAGGAGTAAGGCAAAGTATAGGATCAAAGATGGAGGAACTTAGATTAACATGTGAAAGGGATTTCCCCATTCAACAGCAGCGTATAAATGCAGGCGCCACCTCCTTTGAGGAATCCCTGCATTCAATCAACACCCAAACTCAACAAAACCTTCAATTACAAGGTTAACTTTTCGAAATGTTAAATTTCGATTTCTAGCGAGTCCATTTTTAAAAAGTTCAATTTTTCGGGCGCGCATTTTCAGTTAAATTAAAATATCTACAGCTTTGAACTTTCTCACTGTTGGATTGCTAATTGGTATATTTTTGCTTTGATACTTTTGTCCCGGCAGCAAAAGTTGAGAAATTGAAACTGATCTTAGAGAGGCGGAGGATAATTTAGTAAAAGCACTTGCAGGTATATCAATCTCTCACACTTTATGTGTCATACTTCCATTATTAGAGCCCGTTTGGCCAAAATGCCAAAATTTGCTTATTTTAAAAAGGCAGAATAGCTTAAATAACATTTATATTTGTGCCATTTTGTCATGCCAGTCCCCAAACTTAACAATATACCGATTGAACACTTCCACTCTTTTAAACCGTGTATAATAAATACTTATAACAGGCTGCCACGTCAAAAAATTACAATGCCTAGATGCCATGTCACGTGGTAAATTAAAAATAATTAATCAACTATTCAGATGCTTTTTCGTTTCCTCTTATACTTACCCCATTGTCTTCTTATTTTATGTTTCTACTGTCATATGGGTTTTAGATCCGGAACTTTGGCCGGAATTTTCGCCCACAGTGACTCTTATATTGTATTGTACCTCGTCGATTGGGAGGTTGTCACTTCACGACAGGTGGTGGAAAGGCCAACATATCGGTGAGAGTTAAGGTTTTGGAACTGGAGGCGGCGGACGAGGCCTTGAGGTTTTTTAGGATTTGGAGGATGACGGAATCGGGTTTTAGCTTGGATTTGAAAGGGAGGGCGTTGGAATCAGAGTCGGAGTCGTGAGCTGCTCGCCGGCGTTCTTCTTGTCCGCCATTGATGACATAGATTACGGCGGCGTTAGTGGATAAGTGGAGTTAAGGACCAAGGAACTGTGTTCACAGAGCTTAATCGGAGGTAAATTGAAAAGTGGGGGCGTAAAATCGAAAAGAATAAGACCGGTGAAAAAGATTGGCCATTCAAACACCATGTGAATCAAGATATTCACTGGGTTGCTATGATATGCGCCATAAAATGCAAACTGCTTCTCTAAGTCAAATATTCCCATACTTTCCTTCACCCTATCCTCCTTCTGCCTTTGCTCCTATAAGGTAATCGGGTAATTATGAAGAAATTGGGCTTGAATGATTTGACCCTCTTTTGGGATTATAAAGAGGAAAGTTGATGGGAATAGGGATGGGGAAATTACTGTGGACGCTTTTAGAAGAATTAGGAATTGTTCTTACCTGGTGCAAACAATGATTTGCATTTGCATTTGCAGGCGGTATTTAAATCAAGAAAAACAAGAATCTTTTTGTTTTTTGTTCGGGGAAGAAGAAGAAGCGTATAAGAAAACAAAAAGGGGAGGGGTGGGGGAAAGAAGCTAACAGGAAAAAGAAAAATGGGGTGGGGTGCGGGGAATTTTGTTTTTTGCTTTTTTACATATTTTATTTTATTTTTCATTCTTATTTTAATTATTTCTTATTCAAAATGTCATATTCATGCTCGTTGTCCACTTGAACTACACTCGTATTGTCCGGCTCAACCATTTTGTTGCCATACGTGCTTGGTCAACGGTCAGAAGAGTTTAAAATATAGGTTTTGATCAAGTTTAAGTGTCTGGATGAAACTTTGTAGATTACGAGGACTGGGATGACTAACTGAAACAAGTACAAGTATCTAAGAGGCTATTCTGCCTTTTAAAAAGTACTTTTTTTGAGAAGTATTTTTTCCGAAAGTACTTTTGCAACAAAACAATTTGTGTTTGGCCAATTCATTTAAGAAGTACTTTTTGCAACATTTTGTAAACAAATTGTGTTTGACCAATCTTTCTAAAAAGTGCTTTTGAGTGCCAAATTACCAAAAAGAATAGTACCAAGGTCTTATGATTATTTTAAAGAGAAAAATGAACTTAAATATTTACCGTAATAGACTTTTATTATTTTGTATTTTATTTAATTAAAATACAAAACTTAAAGTAAACAAACATATTAAAGATTTAAATCAATTTTACATATATAGTTATACCAAAACATATAATATTATCTAGTATAATAACTTATTGTTGCACGATGATTTGAATAATCAAAATACATCATTCAGTATGAATTAGAATTCTATTCCACAATTTACTATATACTGATAATTCACTATGAAATAATAAGTAAAATCACTCATACATGATAATATTTTTCAACAATTTCATCTCTACTTCTATCAATCAACTCTTCCATATTAGTTGAAGACTTGCTTTGTATTTCGAAAGGAATATCATAAGGTCCATCTCCTTCTTCAATCTCTGTCGTAATGTCTTCATTAACATAATGGTTGAATTCCTTATCGGTAGAAGAGCGTCGCCGGATGAAATTATGTATAGCCACGGTAGTTGTAACTAGATGATTCTGAGTGTTAAACTTGAAAGATGGCATTGAGCGTAAAGTAGAAATAATTTTAAATATATAAAAAAAAATTATTTTCATAAAAATAATAGTTAGGTATGTTTAAATTCAAATTCAAAAAAAGTAGCTAATTATTAACAACACATAACGTATATTTTTTTTAAATTTAAATTAAAAATGAAACTAATTCTTACCTAACTAACTAATTTTGTCCTAAATTTCCAAGCGGCCTATTGTGAGGCTCCCACTTGGTTCAATGTGGATGCCTTTTTTTTTCTTTTAATAATATATAGATAGATTATGCGATGCAATTGTAGATTTATTACCTATTTGTAGGTAATTTTTACAAGTTAGATTTGATAATAGTTTTAAAGATTCGGGAACTAATATCCTATAATAGAAGAAATTATAAATGATTATTTGTAGGAAGAGAATTGATAATCCAAAGAAGAATGTAGATAATTTGCTTTAGTGTGAAAAAAGAAGATGATAATTTGAAAAGTTACAAGACATTACACAAAGAAAAAATCAAAAACAAGAAAAGTCAATAAAAATTTGGAAAGTTGCAATATGATTCATGTATATGATATCTTTAATTTTAAAAGAATGGTAAAAACTAGTACTTAATAAATATGAAAAAAAAAACTCAAATTAGTAAGGGATAATTTGAAAAATATAAATTTTGAGGTGAGGACGGTTTTGTTTTGAATAAATTAATTTTCTGCTTCTTCCCAAAAGCAGAAAAACTGCTTCTGCTGCTGGCTAAAAGTACTTCTCTGTCTTGGCCAATCAACTTAAATTTTTTAAAAAGTACTGTTTTGGGGAAAAAAAGTACTTTTGGCCCCCGAGAAGCTTGGCCAAACAGGCTCTTAGTCTGTTCCAAAAAGAATGTCATACTTACTTATCTAAAAATAATTTAATTTAAAATTTTTTATTTTACCCTTAATCAGATGATTTATAGTCTTAGTAACATGATTTATAGCCACACAAATGTTTATGACTTATTTTGCACCACAAGTTTCAAAAGTTTACTTTTTTTCTTGAACTCTACGCCGAATCAAACCCCACCACATAAATTGGGTCGGATGGAGTAGTACTAGTGCTTAATCTTTTCTTTTCATAAAGTACAGTAGTGTTTAATCTTTATTTGCATTGCTATTTTTCTGTGATCTGTCGAACAATTTATGAACAAAATGGGCGTGTCTAGGTTGAGGAGGGTTTTGTGTTTCATATTACTCACCCTGTTGACATTGCTGTCCTAGTTACTTGTCCAAATTTCGTTTATATATCCAAATGCTTACCACATCCGAGGATGGAAAATCACTGGAGTTAATCTTTTGTTGTCGCCTCTTCATAATAGTCATCGCAATGGAAAAAGGGTGATCATAGATTTTAAGAGTAGTGTTGACAGAGGTGAAAAGCATTGAATAACTGACTATGCTTTAACTGCAAAGTGCAACAGGTGCACGCTTTAGCGGAGGAAAGACACAAATAAAGAAAAAAAAAAAAAATATAAACATAAAAGTTTATAAGATAACGGAATCTGAAAAAGCCTACATTAGGCAATATTTTGAAGTAAATTATCAGAATAATGATTGTAATCATCTTATATACTAAATTTATAGTTCATATTCTTAGATAATAACATACTCATTCATAATGTCTTCTTAACAATTGATGTGTCACTTTGCGGGTTATATTAATTATTTGTATCGCCCTTTACAAGACCAAACTTGTGTGGGCAATAACGTGCACACCTAAGTGCCTTAATATACTCATTAAAATGCTGCCTAAGTGAGACAAAACGCTCAACTTGCATTACTCCTACTCCCGACTTCAAGAATAAAGTGCGCCTCATGTGAGGCTTAGCAACATTGCTTGAGAGTGCTTATGGAGTTTTGCGTTTAGGCATAGTTCTTTGGAAGTTCTAAAGAATTACTTTTTATGATTAAAAGAAACTAGTATTTTGAAGACACGAGAAGGAAATTTCAGGATATTTGTAGGAAAGAACAAGATCTAATGGATCATTTAGATTAAGAGAGGAAAACTTATCTACAAGAAGCTGATAGTTCTGAATGATATCATTCTCTTCTACGTAGCAATGCAACTTACTCCACATTCCAAATTTTTAGGTTAGATGAACTGTATACAATTTGAATTTAGATCATTTTAAGCTTGTGGATGTTGATTGTGGACTTCTCATTAGCACTTCTAATTAGGTTAGTGAACCAGCAATTGCAAATGACTTAAGTATGACAAACGTGCTAATACATTGTACCTTTAACACTCTGATTGTAGTAAGGGTGAGAAGCATTAAATGTTGAAAGTTGAAAGCTCAAAGTAACGACACCTTCAAGACTTAGAGCGTATAAGAGGGAAGGATTTTAACTTTTAAGAGTTTTACCGACTTCTGTTTGTATTTGATGGTAAACAAGAAGAATGTATGAAGATTCACATGGAAAGTACCTGTGACAGGGCAAATGCTTGGGATTCTTTTCTTTTGTCTATTATTACTCATTCATGATGTTACCAAATGCTCCAGTTCTTGCTCTCAAGTTGATTAACTCTTCATGGTGAATAATTTAAGAGGTGAATGAATTAAGGCACACATATAATGCATACCTTATAAAAAGAAAACACTTATATGTATCTTTAGCAGGAAAATCGGTTACTCATTATTCATCTTCTTAGTTTATTAAAATTTTGTATGCTCATGCTGTCTTCTTTTCATTCCTTTTTTGTTAATAAGTTTATCAAGTTATCTCATTTTCAGTAAAAACCCGAAAAGAGGCAATGAGAATAGCAATAGCAGACTCAATATCTGCTACAACAGCTAGAATGGAAAAACTTAGAGGGGCTTTGGAAGATAAAAAGGCCAGGAAACTTGAATATGCCGCCCTAATATCTCAACATTCTGATGGTAAAGTTTATCCTTGTAAGAGTTATTCTTCACTCATTCATTAAGAAACGGGAGTTGTTGTTTTTTGAGTTTTGTAATTTACACAAATAGGACATGGAAATGTTTCGAGAAGTATCCTTACTCAACTTTTCTTTTCTGGTACTAATAATATTAAGACAAGGTGACAATGTGAGTATTTTCTTTGCATATCAATACCTACTTCAAGGATGTTTCATTCTCATTTCTTGAAATTTTTTTTGTTGCACGGAGGTTAAATCGTTGGCCAGATCTTGGGGAGGTTAGAGAAAAAGAAATTTGCTCTTGTTTACCCAATAATTCTTGGCATAGATTTGTGTATAATTGTCTATTTTGCTGACAATAGTCACCACTGATAATCTATCATATCTCTGCCTAGTATGACCATAGTCGCCAAATTCTTTTATGTATGGGATACCAAACCTGCCATTTATACTTTACATCACTATCTGACTAATAATAGTGCAGTCTTCTTTTCAAATCATTCTGAATTCCCTTTCTCGAAAAAAGTTTCCCTCGCAAGAACTTTGGCCAAAATCACTTGTTATTTTCCTTTAACCAGAGAAATGAATCATACAGAACTTCTGTGTTGCACACTTGTGATGAAACACTTAATTTAAAAGAATAGTTTGTGGGAGCAGTAGAAAATCATTCCTAGGCGTGCTGCCCTTTTCTTTTCCCTCACCTTCATTCTAGCTTAGCATTAAATTCTAGAAGAGGGAATCTACTTGAGAAAGTAACTTATTTGCCAGTTAAATTACCTGAAACAGCACCCGGGGCAGTCTAGCGACCTATGAAGCTGGAAATGACCATGGGCGACTAGGATTCAAATCCCAGCAGAGGTTAAAGAAATACTAGGGGACTTCTTCCTATCTGTTTCAGATTTGATGGACAGAGTTACCTGGTAGTGCACACAGATTGGCTCGGACACCATTGTTATACAAAAAGAAAATACCTGAAACATTAGTACTTCACACATCATTGTTGCACACTTGATTAACATATAGGTTTAGTGCCTCTCTTTTTTCCTTTTACTGAAGGTAGCCTATCTTGGTCTGTTTACCTCACATTGAGGAAATTTTAATAGCTGTCCTTGTAAGTTAACTCGTGTTCTCTTCACCAACCCATTCATTATTTTACAGGTCTTTCTTAATTTGTCCTGTTAGGTCTAACTAGTTCAATTAAGTTGACTTAAGTCCTAGATACTTTCAGAATGTGCTGTATTACTTTTAAGTAGTACTTTAAGTAAAGAAAGATCTAGTTTTCTAGTATATTTGTTGTGCAGGTTGGTGCTCCTCCAACTTTATTTGCATAATATCACATGCTCTTTGTGACAAGCTAATGGTGGCTATCACAAAATCATGCCATCTCTCCTAATAAGAGCATTCTAAAGTATTTGAAATGTTATACCAACAAAAGTTAAAACAGACTCTTTTTTATATATTCGTCAAATGGCTGAGTTTATCGTTGCTTCTGAATCAAGTTCTAGTTAAGTGTAACGGAGCCTGATCTTCTCTCTGAGTGCTTTTGTGCCTAGTCAAATAAAGGTATATGATTTGGCCTGAAGAAAAGGTATATGTTTTGGTGGAAAGGAGTATGAAGAAATAATGATAGTTCTCTCTTGTTCCTTTGTGATATCTCAAGCTCTAAAATATGTCAGTCATGAAAATGTTCAATTTAGTTCTTTTCATATTGTCCTTCCACAATGCTCCTTTTATTTATTGCAGTTATTTCTGTGTTGATCATGTTGGTGCTGCTTTTATGTGCATAATTTCTTATCTATTTGTGCTGTTTCCATTAAGTGCTTGATATCCTTGTTTGGTAATTGAGCTGTGCATTTCTTTTCTGTTGGGGGAAAAGCTCTGGAAGCATTTCAAGAAAAGCTTAACCAGAATACTGAACATATAGAGGCAATAGAGGAGGCTACTCTGTGGTACAATAAGGTGCTTGATTTACGTATAGAATGTGGCCAAGGTACGCAGAATCTAATGCTAGGCGCTTTTTAGCATACTAGAAGATTAAATCTTTTTCTTGCTGAACATGTTAGAAAAGGAACAGCTCTCTATTCAGATTCTGAACTCTAATATAGATACAATTATCCTTATTCGAACATTGATGGCCTACATCTAGATACAATTTTCTTTAGACATTTATGTCCTACATTTTCTGCAGGAGTAAAATTCATCTTTACTAATGTAGATGCCAACAATCCAGATAAGGAGTACTCCTTTACTGTCCGTCATGAGGATGATGTATATACTTGTAAGTCTGGATTTTTAATCAACTTTAATTAATTGAAGGTAGCTCTGAATTATAACTCTTTCCTTTGCTTGGTTTAGTGATTGATTGCGATCCACAACTGCATGACGCAAAAGAGCTGTTGATTGAGTTAAATAAAAGTGATGGACTATTCAAGTTCGTCCGGACGATGAGACTGAAATTTCTAGAAGCTGAAGCACATGGTATGCCCTGTGTCTTGCCTGTTTCTTAATTCTTCTCCTGATTGCAAACTTTTAAAAAAAAAATAAATCATGCCTGTACGTCATTAAAGCCTAAGTGGTACCTGTAAGCCCCATAAAAATGGCATGTTCGTTACAGCCTGCAGAATCACAAGTATGATAGGAGTGTTTTCATGCAAATGCTGTTATTGTTTCAGAATTTGGATATATTCGCTAAGCTACTCTGGGGGGAATGTTTTTATTCTGTTCCTTCCAGGATTAACATCTCAAGATCAGGATGCTACTACAATCCCTATGCCTGCCCCGATTTCATTCATTTCAACTGATATTAGTGATGAAACTTCACCCCAGAAAGAGGAGCCTCAACCTGATGAATATAAGAGAAACTCCATGAAGCTTGCCCGCGGTAAACGGGATAGGTCATCCGTCCTCTCTCCTGTATCTGCATCATCTAATCACCGGTCCCCTCGTTTTAAGGTATCTATCTGTTAACTTTGAACATATTTTGACAATTCACTCAAATTAATTCCAGTGTTTGTTTATCCTGTGACTCTTTTTCCCTTGGGTAATGTTGAATCGATACCAAATAAGTCTGTTTTCTTGATTGTACTATTCTGTTCATAAATGCTGTGATGTGAAACCACCTGTGGCAAACTGATGTGAAAAAAGAGACCACCTATGGCTGGAAATGGTTATTTAGACCTCAAATTGGATTGGGACTTAACACACACATGCATGAGAAAAGTCAGGTAAACTTGCAAATGGTCATCTTGCCCACTGTTGTTATATAACAAGGATCAGTCCAGTTTAGCAATTTATCAATTTCTTATATGAAAATTTTATATTACAGAACATCAGGGAAAAAGAATAAAGATATGCATGTGCTTGAATGAAGCTAGTGCAGCAACATGATTTTGAAGTGTGGGATACTGTTGTCGCAGAAAAACATGAAATAAGAAATTTAGAGTTAAGAAGTGGAATCTGCATTAGAAACATCATTTATTATCAGTGTCATTTAGGCTTTTTCATTTTAACACTGTATAATATTAATGGTTCGTCAACTTGGAGCATATGAGGAATATGATTATCTTTAATCTGTAGGTTCAATACTTCAATCACACAGAATTCATATGTCCATTTCTGAGCTAAACACATTTAGTCCCTCCCTTGCACGCTAAATAAAGTTTTACAGGAAACAATTTACAAACATTTTCACTAATTTACACCATTAGATGAATAATCACAGAGAAGTGAATTAATTCGAAACAATTTTATTCATTATGCCTTCTCGTGAATGGTTTTTGACCGAAATATCTATTATGTAACATCATTGCTTAAATAATCATCTCATAACATCAACAAATTCAATTAGATTGAATTTGAAAAAGCACTTCATACAGAATGAGTACCTAACGAGCAAAATTTTCCTATTTGGAGGTCAAGAAATGATAACAATTAGCCTTTTGTTTCATCTAAGTTTGTTGAAGCACCTTCTTGAAGTTGATCAGCCATCATAAGCCTTAATTGGCCAGCACTGACCAGCAAATACTCCCTTTTCACTTTAAGTGTCTTACCAGCAAATACTCCCTTTTCACTTTAAGTGTCTTACTTTTCCTTTTTGGTCTTTTTAAAAAAGGATGCTACCTTTTTATATTTTGTAAGTTTATTTTTTAAATACGAAGTCTCAGGTTCAAATCACAGCAGAGGCAAAAAATACTAGGTGCTTTCTCCTCATTTGCCCAAGTCTTGTTTGCAGAATTACCCGGTAGCTATGTTGATGGGAGGTAGTAGCTACCTGGTGGAATAATCGAGGTGCGTACAAGCTGACCCAGAAACCACCGTCAAAAAAAAATTATTTAGTTGGTTTTTAACTCCAACGTTCTCATCTAACCCTTAATGTCACTCCTTATAGGATTGACATGGCATGTTTAAGACCACAACATTGTAATAGTATATTTAGTAAGTTATATACACCTTTAGTTTAACACCTTAAGATTTAGAAGTCTTCACTCTTCATTACATTCTTAAACTTTGTACCTAGTTGAACTAAGATACATAAAATGAAATGGGATTTTAAGTACCTAAAGAGTGGAAATTAACGAGCCAACAATAATGAAGGGGATGCTGGAGCCTCACAGCCTTCCTAGGGTTTGAATTAGCTGACTTTGTTTCCTAGGTCTAAAAGACTTCATTGATTTTGCTGAAGTATATTATCACAGCTTTCAAGTTATCCATCCGATTATCCTTTTATTTATTTTTGGCCTTTCTGTTGGTTGTTTCTGCAAGGCCTTATAGTGTACTCCCATATGTTTTAATCTTGTATCTATTGTAGAACAGAGACTGCTGAGTGTTGCAGTTGTTTTTTATCTGGTCCGTCTACTCTTTATCTCATTTCTATTTTGGGTATGAGTAATTGATCTGTATCCTATTGATGGAAAGTTGAATAGCAAGAGAGACGAGCATCACAGATTGAACACTCCCCCAACTAGTTTGGGATTGAGGCTTAGTTGATTGATTGCTAACAATGCAACAGTTGGTAGTAGGAATGCAACCAAACATTTCTTTCTGTAATATGCATTTCATTTAATGATAAAATCTATTACATTAATATTTAGTATTTTGGGATTAAGGTTATTTGCATTGCTGATTTGAAGGCAATCTCAAAAGAACGTAAACAAAATCAATAGTTTTTGTAATGCCTGAAAAAGTTGATGAATTTGATGTGCGTCCATTTTAGAGGTAGTATTGTACAATCTGAAAGTTATTAGTATGTGAAAGCATAGGTGGTAAAGGGGTATTAATGGTGTTTTTGAATGTAGCAAAATGGTAGATTGAATGTTCAAAGTGCAAAGAGAAAAGGTGAAGCATGCCATGGTCCATAATTGTCAGGGACCACCAAAAACGATGAAAAGAGAAGTCTTCATAATTCCAATGTAATTTTTACTCGTATCGTTTTATTGTCTGATTACCTTTTTATTTTTGGCCCTGATGGATATACAAGTGTATATCTGTTTATTTACAGGTCTCTCCCTCTCCCAAAAATTTAAGAAAAAAGGATTGTCATTCCAAATGTCGAAGCAATCTTCGTTGAATTAGTGCACGAGTGTGCTTCCAAAGTTTATGAGCTTCAATTTAGTCATTTGCTAAAGCTGAGCAGTGACATTCGTCGCAGTCTGCAAAGTATTTTCCACTTACTCCCCTTGTTTGTGGGTTCATTGCTACATAGCATGTACTTGCTGAACCCTGCCATTCCAATGGAAAACTGAACCCTCGTTAATAAATTCAGGTAATCAACCAACGGAACTACTAATACTAATTCGTCATATAAGCCAATTTAATGAACAATTAGTGGGTGGGAGTACCATCACACCTAATATTTCTATTTTTTGGTGATAATGAATGCACTTATCCAGTACCAAAAGCTACATTTACTCTTGATTATTATATCTTCCTGAAATGTTTGATACAAAAGTTATTTTCCCGTTCATTTTTAGAAAAAAATAAGGTAAAAGTATCCACAAAGAAGAATTGTATGAGATTTGAAAGGATATTCGACAAAGACGAGCAGAACCTGTGATGTTGACTTTAGAAGCTTTGCTGCCATAAAATAGAGAGAATCTGTTTAAATTTGATGAAGAAAGTCATCGGTACATTTAGTTGTCTCTGTTTGTTTCTGTCGCAAAATTTTAGAGAAAAGCAAAAGGAAACATGAAAAAGAAAAAAAAAAAAAAGCTCAAAACGACAAAAAAGGGAAATGCATGCCTGTGATAAAGCCCTTGTGATCCCTTGTTATTCCAGTTTTCACAATACTTGGATGGACAGCATTCATAGCTACATTTGCATTTCTTGCCTGTCCAGATTACAAAATTCACTTTCAATATCAAGCCCAAAATACAAAGCCGAAAGCACTCTAAAATATTTGAATGATAGAGTTACTAATATTTTTTTCTAGAAATTCAAAGGTGAAAAATTGCAGTTCTTACTAAATCATTCCATTTCTCTTAACCCCAAAGATTCACAGAATGGAATGAGTGGTAATGAAAACACCTTGGTGCAAAACCCCCTTTTTATATTTGGACAGGCAAAATGACTAGATAACTAGCGCTATAATTTGCCAATACGTTTGTGTACAGACGACTATTTTTCTGATACAAGAAACGAGACTTTTTGTGGCGACTAAAGTCACCAAAAAAAAAAAAAACAAT